TGAAAAAATACCACCCGCGAATCACCTTTTTTGCGGGTCACCCGTCGAGTACCAGCGGGTACCCGACCCGATGCAGGACTCTGGTCCAGCACAGGTAAAAAGGTCACAGGGACTAGCCTTTTCCTGGCCTCAAGCGAGAAACAGGACTTGTTCCTGAAAAAGAAACCTAGTCTAACCCTCAGCTTTTTAAGCAGGTTATTGACGTGAAGTTTAAAAGTAAGACAATCATCAAGCCAGATACCAAGGTATTTGTAACAGGTAACAACTTCTAGTACTTGTCCTTGCATAGCAACAATATCTAACTCACTGCTCGAGTATGTCAACACAAACTGGGTGTTTCCAATGTGGGTACAGTAGTTTGTAATATAGGTCACATAAACACGAAGCCATGAAGCAACATGAAATTTGGACATCCAAATTAATTTGTGAAAATATGATTCAGAACTTTCATTTAGAAAAAGTGTATTTGTTTCAACTAAACCTTCCTATTATTTGAGGATGACAGGATTATACACCACTACAAAACATGTTGTGAGAAATATAGTATTTGTTAAATAAATTAAATATACAGAATACCTAATAATACTTTCTAACATTAAAAGGTAAGGTAACATTAAGCTGTCTTTGGCTCTTTTCTGCTGTAACAATGTAAATGTTCCCCTCTGTGGGACTAATAAAGGGATTCTGATTCTGAATTGAAAAGATTCAGTAGCAGTGCTTTAATATAGTTAAACTGAACAGATACAAGGAGCCTCATTTATTTATTTCATTGCCATATACATATATTTAATATGCTTATTATTAATTAATTTAATCCCATACCCACAACGTCTTTCTTTCCTTGAAACAGGCACCTCATTAAAAAGCGACAGTCAAGTTACATTAAAATCATTCAAAGCCCTTAGTTTGAGATTTATAATATATATCTCAAACTATTATATAATAGATCAGAATCAGAATCAAGTTTATTGCCAGATACTTTGACGCATACAAGGAATTCACTTTGGTGTTTGGTGGTGCAAACATAAACAATCCAAGTCAATCTAAGACAAGTATTTACACCAAGTTGAAATATATATATATATATTAAAGAACCGTTAAAGCTAGAAAACGAAAACACTGAGGACAATGATATATATGTGGAGGGTTGTGCAGACATGTTTGAAACTTTCATCAGCTGTTGTCGTGCTTCATATAACGAGCCATAGTTGTTAAACACACATCTAAACACAACTCCACTATGGTGTGTGGCATTTCAAGCGTATTAATGCTAAATAATGCCAACGTGTGTCCTGTTTGACCCGACTCAAAGGTTCAAGGTGCAGATTTCCCCCCTCTAAGCTGAAAGTGTGAAAGGAGGGAAAAAAGGGATTAAAGTCGATTTCTCAAACGATCTCAACACTCAGTGAGTCGGTGAGGCAGAATGGAGGACGGCCACTAAAGACTTCAGCAGCCGCTTATTTCCAGCTCACTTGTTCTGGTTTCCCATTCTGACCCGACAGACCGAATGACTCATAGCGTCGGACCGCAGCTCGATGATGTTCTCACGAGTCACAGAGGACTGATAATTGATGCACTAATTAAGATGCTTCCTGGATTGATGTGGCCAACATGAGTCATGTTCTTATCTTAAAGCACTCAGAAGTTGTTTTTATCTGATAAAAGGGAAAGCATTGCACGTCTCTGCGGGGGGGTCATTATACAATATGGCTTTAAATCTCTCTTTTTACTATCTAATGCACAATATTTAGTCTCCTCGTTTTCATTTGATTGTCAGATTTCGGAGAGAGCGAAATCTATTCTTCATCAACATTAAAAATGGGGCTAGTTTCTCTATATTCTATTTTAAATTAAATAGTTTGGGTTAATTTAACGACAGCGTTTATCAGATGATATTACCCGCTTCTTATTGTTTCTGTGAGATGACGAACCACTTGGAAGCTTACATTAATAATTAAATGAACAACAAAAGGAAAAGCATAACAAATTATAAAAGCTATTATCTCAAAGACTATCTTTAAATTGCATTATTCATCATACCAATTATTGCACTTTACAGTAGCTCAAAAGTCTCCTGGTAATCCAATCTGAAAAGGAGAATTCAGAGAGAAAGCTGATTATGTACAGCGCTATCATATTCCCACCATACACAGTGAATTTGTACTGAATCAGTTGTGCATTGTGCTGCAGGTCAGCTGTATGGACTGGAGAAGTTCTGGGCGTTCCTGAAATACTCAAAGGTGAAGAACCAGCCCATCGACCCCAAGCTGCAGGAGCACCTCTCCCAGTTCAAGAACCTGGAGGACTTCAGGGTCATGGTGAGTCTGAAATGAATGATACCGTGTGACTGAAAAACACAAGTGGCAAATATCATAACACCTACAATACAATCACACCTGAAACATTGAACAGGTGAGGATTGAGACAATGCAGCACAATCTGTGACAATGAACACATACAAGTTATTTACTTTATACAAGACATGTAACGAAAAAGTATTTCTTGGACTATGGAAAAAAACATGGACATAGCTATCATCGCACATTATCCTGCTATACCTCTACTTTTAGACATTTAATACTTTACATACAGGATAAACGTACACACTAACTCAATGTGCATCCGGTTTACGATGGAACATCATAACTTTTATAATAATATATTTATTATAATCGGGAACAGCTGCAAGAGAATAAAATGTATTTTGAGGTTGAAGATTTTACCTTTTACCTTTTTTGCAAGGCAATTTTATTTATATAGCACATTTCAACACAAGGCAATTCAAAGTGCTTTACAGAAATGAAAGACATTAAGAGCATTTAGAAACATATTATGAAATGACATTTAAAAACACTCGTTCTACTTATTATTATTTTAGACTATAACGAGTAATAGATTATCTGAATAGTTGAATGTTTTTGTTGTTGATCATTCAATGTTTTCCGCCCTATTATGCATTGACCTCCGACCTGTGTTTCCTGCAGCCCCCGATGGGAGATGAGGGAGGCAGGAGGAGACGTCTCTCATCCTCGGCTGGGGATGAAGGGAGGCGTCGGCGACATCCTTCCAACACTACCTCAAAACCTGCGCCGGCCTCAAAATCCTCCAGCGCTGCACAGAACACGCCCAAAGACAACGCCCCGAAAACAGCCGCCGCCGCCCAGGGGAAGAAGGCCGAGCCCGGGAAGAAGGCCGAGCCCGGGAAGAAGGCCGAGCCCGGGAAGAAGGCCGAACCCGGGAAGAAGGAAAGTGTCGCAGCTAACAAATGAAGCTCCTCCTGAAGGTGTGAGTTTGGAAAGAAGAGGCGACGGGCGGCTCTGAGATCAGCGTTCGCTCTTTTCAGTAGCAAAAGTGTTTGAGTATGAAGAGAGACTGAGCGTGGTTGACTTAATATGATTGTTTTTATCTGTGCATTTCATTTTAAAGCAAGCAAAGCAAAGCGTAGGCAGTGAGCTTGAGTCTGTGCGCCTGGCCGCTCATAACGTTTACAACGTATACAAAAAAAAAAAAAAAAAAAAAAAAAAACACAAAAAAAAAATGCATTCCCTGCATTTTGCCTTTTTATTCTCTCGGATGCCAAAACTCTTTCAACACTTTTGGTTGATCTCAAATTCTGTAAAGAGCTCTGGTTTGTATGGAGCTCTCCGCCTGTTCAACTGTGATTCTCATTTGCCAAGATGAGAGATAACGCAGATAGTCTCGTGTGCCTTAATCTGATTCACCGGGAGGTAAAATTGTTCAGATTTTCAAAAGTCTTCCCAATTCATCATTTGAATGTGTTCAAAACTGATAACACTTGCAGCTTTTTTCTTCTTTTCTCACGACGTTAAATATCTTTTTTATCATGACAATCACTGCTGCAGTCATACATTTGTGAAGGACCCCCGAGGCTGCTGCTCATCAGACGTGTCCTGATGTTTTCACTGACGGGCTTCACAGCTAAACGTATCATGTTGGTTTTTAATTAAAGCCTGCAAGAAAAAAATGACAAAATTATGTGGGAAGCTTTACTTATAGTCCCGTTTTACACCCAGAGCTAGTATAATTTATTGTTTTATTCTTGTTTTTATTTTTACTTGATTTGATGAATTAGTCTTAGGTAATCATTGCAGTTTTTAATGGCTTTTGCTATTGAATATTATATATATGGAAAAAAAAAAAAGAGGAAATGTTTCTGCTGGAATTGTGGGTGTGAAGCTAGCATCATAAGACTACAGTTTATTTTAGCTTGAAGTTTACTTCATATTATGTTTGAGGCTTTGTGCTCTAAAGCACTTAATTCATTAACTTTCCTTTTACTTCAGCGATGAACTTAAAAGAGGTTTTAGAGTTGAACTTTAAGAAAAAAAAATGTAAATACTATAAAAAATCATTTGCTATTCGATTATTCTTTTTGATTTTAAGAAGTGATTTTGTTTTATTGGTAGTGTGGTTTTGAGTGTGTATTTAGGATAAAGCAATGCATGTTAATGCAACAGTCATGAATTGTAAAATGCAAAAAAATATAAAATAACTTTGATTGTATAAACCTGTGTTTGAGTGATCTGTTCTGTCTGTTAGCTTACTTCGCACATTCCTCATCTCAGTTTTAATATTTTGTGGTATAGCTGAGGGCGGCTCATCGAGCCTGATCGGCAGGTTTTATTACCAACAATGTTTGAGGGAGTATTTTGTCACCTTTTAAATAAATAAAAATCCAAAAGGAAGATTGTTTTTCACTCGGTGCATTTTGACCAGCTTTCAACTCGAAGAGAGTAAACAAGCAGTTTGGAAGAAAAAGTATTTACATAGTGTGTGCAAATAACATTCAGATAAGAGCTGAATTAAAATGAAATGGAATTGTTACCTAGAAAACTAAAGACAACACATGATTTAACATTAAGCAAAACATGGAGGCCAATACAATTTAAGAAAATGGCATTTATTGTATTAGAAATGCATATTCTGAACTGAAAATGTCCTATTCTGCTCATGTAGTCATCACTGCTAGACGTTTAAAAATACAATTTCAAAGCTTCAGTAAATCTGAAGATGTGTAAGAAAATAAAAGATAATAAAAATACTTATTTATAATCACTGTTATTTTAGTTTTCTTCCAAGTTGTTGTGACTACGGGTCCCGATGGAGAGACAAAAAACATCAACAGCACAGTCAGGTAGGCGTGTGCTGTGCTGCCTTCAAGTGTTCCTCGTAAAACTCAACTCTATTGAATACGTTGATCTGAATGGGACTTTCAAGGGATGCTGTGTACAGTTGGTTCAATGTGAAGTAGTTTAATCCTTTTTGTTTATTGAAATCTTTATTTTAAATATGTCTCAGTATGCACCTGAATCACATACAATACTTTCCATCGTACACTATTTGTTTATTGATGTTTTCCTCTTAGAAATGAAAGAGAACAGAAATACATTAGGTCAATAAAAAAGTGATAGGTGCAAGTAGTAAGCAATAAATAAGAGAATGCAAAACCAAAACAAGACACATGCATACCAAAAGCAGTAGGCTACCAAGACTGAGATAATAACATTAATTGATAAAAGAAAATATAGTGATATTTACATAAAATACCTAAACATAAAGTAGGCTAATAGTTGTTGGTTGGTCTGCAGTCGGACCAATCCACATCTTTTCATTTATATTCTATTAACTGTATGTGTCTCAATAGTCTCATGTTTGTACATTTTCCTTTCCCTCTCCCCTTCATCTCACTTTGGCAAAATAAATAAACATGATTATTTCGAAACGTCATCTGAATAAAGAATAATAAGTTTACTTTCAGTGATCTGCATTCTGCAACCATCACTCTGTGTGGGTTACTTTTTAATAATAAATAATAAGATAATAATCAGGTGATTTCACTTATGCATATACAAAAAGACTGTAGCCAATACAAGTTTAACAATAATTAATCAGTGTAAATAAAATTCCAAATAATGTTGTTTTTATAACATAAGCCATTCGTATTTATAAAATCCATAATGGATTAATGTTTGAGTTGGAGTGTTACAAACCTGTTCTAGCTTTTCAACTATGTTAATTTGGAGATTTTCTTACACATCCTTGATAGTTAAAAGTAACAAAGTACATGGTTGTCTGGATTTTGGACTCATGGTGACATGTAAAATGTCACTTTGACTTTCTGGAACAATTTATTGAAATATTTTTGCTATTTGCTGACATTCTGTTGACACAATGATTAATTCATTGAGTGAAAAAGAAAAGGGACCATTAGAAGGATAGTAGAATTGATAATATACGTAATCGTTAGCTCTAGCACAATATTAACACACATACACACACAGCTCTACGTTGCACCAAATAACACAATGTAACAACACTCGTTCAACTAGTGGTTCCTGCGATTCCCCGACAGGACTTGAACGCAGCATCTGTCCAGGGGCGGGTAGGCGCTAACCGTGCAGTATGGCGGACGATGGAGACACTTCCAGCGGACCAGTGGACACCAGCGGCGGGCAGGGGGCAGCGGAAGAGTCCTCCGACGGGTACGGCCTCAGTGCGATGTTGTTGAATCTCAGTGTTGTGGTTCTGGTGGCGGCGCTGTGTCTGGCGGCGTACCGACGGTGGGGCAGGCGGCTCATCGTGTCCGCGGCCCAGGGCGACGAGGCCTCGGCTCTGCCCAAGATGAGGAGACGGGACTTCAGTCTGGAGCAACTGGGGGAGTACGATGGGCTCCAGAACCCCCGCATCCTCATGGTTGTCAACATGAAGATCTTCGATGTGACCAGCGGGAAAAAGTTTTACGGGAAAGGTAAGTAAAATACAGGGGGAAACGCGGGAAAACAACCAACTGACAGCCGCGTGAGTTTATAGATGACACGTCCCCCGCTCGTGGTGAATTGTCCCGGATAACAAAAATTGGGCGCTAACGGCTATGGTTAGATAGCTTAGCTCATTTTTAGCTTAGTCTATGTTATTGAATCGGATGCTAGGTGTGAGCATGGCTCTGGTTAGCTAGCCTAGCTCTTTTTGTCCATGTAATTTAATGGGATGCTATGTGTTAGCATGGCTATAGTAAGCTAGCTTAGCTCTTTTTGTCTATGTTATTGAATGGGTTGCTATGTGTGAGCATGGCTGTGTTTAGCTAGCGTAGCTCTATTTTGCTTTGTCTCTACGAAAATAAAACGGAACTAAATTGTCAAATATATATATACAAGTTGACCGTGAAAAATGAAAATCTGTTGACTCTCTGACACCTCAACACTATGAAGGGCTAAATTACAGCTAACACAATTTATTGAATGGGAGGAGAGGTGTTAGCAAGGCTGTATTTTAGGAGAGTTCGTGACTAATGTGACATATATAATATAACACCTCCTAAATTTGTAATTAGAAACACTAAACATGTTCACTTTTAAGATAAAGTTCCAGTTTTAAACAAGCTAGTCTGCTGCTAAGGCTAGCCTGTTGGCTTGTTGACACAGACATGCACTGTCTGGGTGTCTGGGCTGCAGACTTTCAATGGTGGAAATATAACCATCTTTTAACTTCCGAGTCAAAATATTGATGCTACGATACAAGTACAAGTCATGCATCTACAATTAGGCTTAAGTATCAGGTATTGTATAGAAAATGCACTTAAAGTATTAAAGTAAAAGTACTCACCATGCAGCCAAATGTGCTGTTTAGTTGTAACATTATAATATTAGCTTATGATTAATGGTGCTGAAAGATATACTCTTTTGTTTTGTTATTTTATCTTTGGTGGTTTAATTTTAATGTTTAACAATTCATTACAAACATCCACATAGTACTCAATATATGTATTATGAAATATTCGCACATTTACAAAGTTACTAAGGTAACTAATCTCATTGAAACGTAGTGTAGTAGATAGTAGCATAACGTTAAAACACTTAAGCAAAGTACAAATACCGCCAAATGTACTTGAGTAGATTACTTGAGTTTAAAGTGCCTTACGACACTGAAGTTTGCCCCAATATTTTCACCTTAGAAATATTAATCTTGCAACATTTACTCATGTGGAGGTTAGTTTTATGCAGAGATGCTGGTTTTATTTTGTGACTTTACTGAATAAGTGAAGTAAAGTAAAAGTTGCCCAGTGGAATAGTTTTTTCAAAGAGCAAAAAGTAAAACATTTCATTACTTTGAAGAAGCACGCTCTACTTCCAATACATCTTTATTTATTTGTTTGCAAAGCAGCGCTAACCTGCCAGGGGTAGACATTAAGGCTAACAATCTACTGGCCCGGCCCCACCATTGTAACCACTGGCCTAAGAGCATTCGTCCAAAAATCGACTAATAATGAAGAAAATGAACTTTTGTTGCAATAGTAATTGATGCACAAACGACATTACTACTTGTACTACAACATTTTAATCATCAGTTCTTCCTCATTTTCCGCAATTGTTCATATTTGGTTTATTGAAATTATTATATTGTGGTCATTGTTAAAGAAAAAAAAGGAAAAAGGAAGGTGACATTTCTTCTATGATTATTGTTATTTTTATAATACACTTCCTGCCTTCCTGTCATTATCAGGAGTTAGAGATGTAATGGCTATGTAATAGATTAGATTAGAACCTTCATTATCCTAAACTGCTGGGACATTTCCCTATAGCCAATACCTTTTATATTTTCTACTCTTCACTTACTTGTCAGCATAGGTCGGCATTGATGTACAGAGCCGACAAAATACCTTGTTTATATCATCATATTGAAACCAACTCCATCGATCAAGCCAGTGTGGTCACTCTCCTTTAACTCCTCCGGTGACATTATTTTATTTGAAGATTGTTTTTGGTCCGGCGCAGCGCTTGGCTACCGGTGGTATTAAAAACATTTTGGCGAATGGTTAGGTGGCGCGAAAGTCAGTAGTGAAGGAACGCGCTCACGGGAGCCTGCTCGCGCTGCGCTCTGCAGCAAACAGCGGTTTGCTTTTCACCCAACAACAACAACCGTCTCACGAAATGCTATGTTGTAGCGTTGATGAACGAGACTATTTAACAAAATTGCTTGTCAAAATACCAATACCACAGGACAATGTGATTTTATGTCTTACTGTTTTTTTTTTTTTAAAGCAATAATTGTAATGGTCCGAGCGGGCAAGTGGAAAGTACGTTATGCTGGCCCGGGGTGTCTAGATAGTGCTTCCGGGCCAGCGGGCCGTTTATAATGTCTAGCCCTGCCTGCTACTCAACATTTTCTCAAACATTACATGATACTTGTTAGACGGTTTTATCCAAAGCGACTTACATATTCAATACTGTGGACAATCCCCACAGGAGCAATTTGGGGTGAAGTGTCTTGCCCAGGGACACAACGACATGCTGACTACAGTGGGGTTTGAACCTGTGACCCCCTGATCCGAACACCTACGCACTAATCCACCGCGCCACGTGACTCTGTAATAAACTATAATTATTCAAACAACATTCCTGCGTCATGTGTCACATCTGGTATTCGACACCAGCAGCCAGCACCGGGCCAAGTAGGCCTGAATCTCTCCAGCTCTTCAGGTTATGACACAGACTTACAGTAGAGAGACAC